AAAAATAGGCTGATTCGTGGAAAATTCGATGACAATTAATTACAGTTACGCGCGAGGCGTGAAAATGGCCAAGAGAAGGGAAGATGAAGAATCGCTGGCGAAAATAAGGCGGCATAAATAAGCGTCAGCAAATTATAAATTAATTCAAACGCATTTAATGAAGAAAAACACCAAAGCAAACTGAAGGCCGAGGTACACTGGAAAATATAGTACAATATTTTGGCTTTCTATTGCAAGCTATATTAGGATTTTTTATACCCTTGCAGAGGGTATTATAATTTTGGTCAAAAGTGTGCAACGCAGTGAAGGAGACATCTCCGACCCTATAAAGTATATATATTCTTGATCAGGATCACCTCCTGAGTTGATATAGCCATGTCCGTCTGTCCGTCTGTCCGTCTGTCTGTTTCTACGCAAACTAGTCTCTCAGTTTTAAAGCTATCGAGTTGAAACTTTGCACACACCCTTCTTTCCTTTGCACGCAGTATATAAGTCGGAACGGCCGGGATCGGCCGACTATATCCTATAGCTGCCATATAACTGATTGATCGGAAATGCCATAACTCTGCTGTTTGTTAAGTTAGGAAGTTGGGACTTTCTGTGGGTTCTATATTTGGCCAATCAATCCGACGTACCAAATTTCATAAGGATCGGCCGACTATATCCTATAGCTGCTATATAACTGATTGATCGGAAATGCCATAACTTTGGTGTTTGTAAAGTTAGGAAGTTGGAATTTTCTATGGGTTTTATATTTGGCCAATCAATCCGACCTACCAAATTTCATAAGGATCGGCCGACTATATCTTATAGCTGCCATATAACTGATTGATCGGAAATGCCATAACTTTGGTGTTTGTAAAGTTAGGAAGTTGGGATTTTCTATGGGTTTTATTTTTGGCCAATCAATCCGACCTACCAAATTTCATAAGGATCGGCCGACTATATCCTATAGCTGCCATATAACTGAACGATTGGAAATGCCATAACTTTGGTGTTTTTAAAGTTAGGAAGTTGGGATTTTTTATGAGTATTGAGAATGCATCATATGAATAATTTTGGAGAATATAATTAACAGAGTATTCTGCAAGGGTATATCAACTTCGGCTCCGCCCGAAGTTAGCTTTCCTTTCTTGTTTAATGTTAAAGTACTCTGTGAAAAAACTTATTAAAAGTATGATCAATTTTAGAAAGCAATCTTTAAGTAAAATATTTTAATCTTAAAATAAAATATATCAATATTTGGAAATAATGCGAAAACAAAGAAGTTAGTCTATTTTAACATGTAGTTTAATGTAGTCATCTGAATTTGATAACATTAAAAATATAAAGCAAAACCGAAAATATATGAAGTTATATATTGGCCAGATGGTTGGTTTTCATTATTAATTTGGTTTCAGTGTCCGAGAAGAGGCAAATGCGGAGAAGGACACGCCAAATGCAAATTCCGACCAAAACTAAACAAGGACGAAGGACAAAAAAGGGGGCGGCTTCGAGGGGGAGTGGCAGCGCAGAGCACAGAGCGCACAACTCAGTCAGACGTTTGAATTAAATAAATGAAATACATAAATAAAAACAGATGAGCTGTTGCCGTCGCTGCCGCAAAACTTGGCCAAAAAGGAAACGGCCAAAATAAACAGTGGCCAGGGGGCGGGGGCGGGTGCGGGGGCGGGGTAACCAGTCGGCGGGGATGACCTGCCTCCAGGGTTCGATTAAGTGTTACCCTGCAGGAATCACGCAGCCGAAACGACCCTTGACCTCGGTCTTTATCTGTTTTTTTGCAGTCCCATTTGGAAGGTCAGCAAAGCAATTGGTAGAGGAAAACGTTGGGAAAAGCGGAAAAAAAAACTGAATATTAATTCAGACTTCGTTCGTAATTAAATTTTGAATTTTATCTGGCTTTGAGCTTCTTTTTGTTCTGGATTTCTTTTTCATTCAATTAAATTTGTGTTATTCCTGTTATACTTTTGTTTTAACTGTATCTTATTTTCAGCTTCATTTGCAATGTATTTTGTATATGTCTGAGTCAATTTGTTCTATACTTGAAGATCTAGATTGATTTAATATTATTACTTTTATCATTTATCTAAAGTTAATATGCTATATTTATTAAATACCTCTTCAGTTGTTAGCCTAATCTACCCCAGATTATAGCCAATTGTGTCTGGAAACAATTACCAAAAATAAAATTGAGAAAGAAGGAAGATCCAGTTGGAAAAGGAGGTAATGCTACCCCAGCAATTAATCAGTGAAATTGCAGCCAGAATATAATAATAAATGAGCCGCCAGTCGAAACAGAAGCTTTAAAAAGTCAAACCACAAATACAGTGAATTTTTCTGTTTTCTTCAGCATTTTCCCTTTGGAAAAGTCTCCGGAATTCGGCACAATTAAAGTATATAAAATTTAAATTTAAACAAAAAACTACCATATAAACCTTTATTTTCCATATTTCTTTTTACTTTGCCGTATCAGCATTTTTTATAGCATGTCACAATGGCTTTCATTTAATTTATCGGCTTAACTGACAACCATTTTCCATCTAAATGCATTTCAGCCTCTAACATTCATCGCAAATAAACAAAAAATGTTTTCCAATACCAAATATGAAAAGCCAAAAGCAATCGAATTGGAAGCGATAATGAAAACGCAGCAATTGTAGTGGTATTTGTTTACATATAGATATATTTGTATGCACAGAGAAAACGCTTTGAACGAAATAAAATTGGCAATAGTGGAGGATTAGATATGGCTGTATTGCCTTTGAAGGCAAGGAGTTTTGAATATGAAAATTAATTGAAAAATAAAAGCCATTAAAAGTGCTTTTTAATATTTTTAATAAGAAAATAATAAACGAACTTATTTATATACATATATAATTTACTTCTTTATTTATATAGTTAATATATTATTATTGTTGTATTGAGCACTTATATGTATGTTGTACACTAACATTAAATACCAAATTATTCCAAAGTGATTTACAAAGAATGAGAAGTCATAATTCACCTGTTATAAAGGGCAATAAACAAACAAAATATTACACCTTTATGGAAACCGATGTTTCACTGTACCTTTATCATGTTTAGTATATATGCGACTGACTGTAACTCCTGTCTGATATCTGCATTCGTGTGGTCGTAAATCGTTTCTGCTCGTTGGAACCACCTCCTCGCCGCTCAACGCCTGGGATTTATGATACAAAATACGAAAATCTCTTCCATCTGCCTGACACCACCCCCTCCCTCTCCCCCTCCCCCTCCACCTCCTCACCGCCCCTGCCACGCCCCCCGCCCTACTTGCCACCATATTTGTCAGTTGCAAAATGGCTGCTAGATGGCAAGTCTAACGCTTTTTACGGCTGTCACTTTCTGTTTTGCTGTTACTTTTCAACACATTTTTGACAAAGTCAGCAGAACGATGGACAATGGATAGCGGAGAAGGCGGAGAAAGGAGGTGAAAGCGAGGAGAAATCGGGGGAAAAGCGGAGAAAGGGGGTTGGAATTTCCCTGAAGCGTTCTATATATGTGTTTGTGTATGTGTTTCAAGCTGAACGCCTTTTGCGTTTGGCCATTTCCTTTCGGCTCGCCGCTTTTCCCATTTCCATTTACATTTTCCAGCCAAATGGCTGAAAACTCGACTGGAATTGTTGTTAAATACTTTGGGGCTTAATTGCAGAGAAACGCAAGAAGGCTTAGCCTCATCAAGTACCCCTTAATGCTTTCCCCTTTTTTAAATATTTTTATTTTAGACACTTCAATCAGGAATAATCATGTATTTTCCTATTTAAAAAAATATGTTTGAAGTAATATATATATATTTATATATCTCTCTTATCTTATTTATATATCGTTATCTTATTTTTTAAACATTTTTAATCAGAATAATATAAAATATGGTATTCAATCTTAAGTTTTCTCGATAAATATGAAAATGATTTGTTAATCAATTTGCTTTTTAGCTCTAGTGTATCCTCAAATTGGTAGTTTTAAACATAATTATGTTTTTTGGAGAAGAGATGAACAATCCCAAGATACCCCTCAAGATTTCGCCACTCCACGGTACGATAAAGACGAAATTGAATAGCGGACATTAATCAAGTTTTACTTGGCCCAAAATTGCTGAAACGGCTGCTCGCCTGCAATTTGCTCGCCCGGAGTCCTGCTCTTCGATCCGTAAAGGAAACAAACCGCCTGCCACGCCCCCTCCACTGCCACCGCCCCCGGGCAGAGGGCGTTCAGTTGCTCAGGTAAAAGGCAGCACGTCTGGACAAATGTTTGTGGCCAGGCCATTAATGCTGCAGTGCAGCCGAAGATGCAGGGATCCGGCGATGGCCAACTGGACAACTGTTTAATTATAGCAAAATATTTGTGCAGGCAAATCAATTAAGGCCGAGCAATGACAACCCGCAGGCTGCAGTCCGTAAATGGGAATTGCAGAAATATGGGATGGCCATCGCATCGCATCGAAATCAATTGAATCGTAATGAAAAGGGTGAAATGAATACCTGTGTTTCAAGACTGCAACTATTGTTTTATGACCCTCGTTCTGCCAAATTGTAATATGCTACATTTCGGATTCGCCACCAGCAAATGAAACAAAAACACTAAGATTTCACAAATTAATTTTCACTTTTGTATGTGTTTAGTCAGTTAAGTTACTAAACTGAGTGAGTACTTTCGATTGGTTAAACTTAAACTAATTGTTACTACCAAATGAATTCATTATTTTATTTCTATTATTTAAGGGCCGTATTTGTCTTTAATTTTGTATTTCAGTTTGAAATTCGAATACAGCTCACTACTGGTATTGTGCTTTGTTTTTAAGCCTCAGAAAGAGAACTCTGGATTTAATTCCTATTTCCATTTGGTTAAACTTCATCTGATTGTTACTTCAAAAATACAGTAGTATACACATTATATTTGTTAAATTTAAATTTGTACCCTCAAAGTCATCCAAGTATACATTAAAATTGCCGTTTAAATTAAAAACCCCTTGTGAGAACACTCTTTCAGAAAACATTTTAATAGTTGCAAAGACCAAACGCACAGAAAATCGATGAGATAACGCCAAGAAGTGGTGAGCCGACCGCTACCAGAAGTCGCCCTTGGCCCCGGCTGCATAGTTGGCTCCATAACTGGATCCGCAGCTGGATCCACCACCAGGTCGTCCTCCGCCAGCGTAGCCCTGGTCCGTGTCCATGCCGTTGTAGGCGCGGAAGGCCTCTCCGTCGTCCAAACAGGGCTCCCGGAACTGCGGGATGTAGTTGGGCATGGGACAGCTCATCTGCCGGAAGTCGCCCATGCCCATGTCCATCCGCAGGTAACAACTCGGGCTTTGATGCGACTGGGAGTGGGAGTGGTTGTGATGGGACATGGGATGAGGATGAGTATGGGGATGAGTATGGGGATGGGGATGGCGATGGGAATGAGGATGATGGGTCCGCTGGTATCCGGAGGTGTTCGGGTCCATCATATCCCCCATCTGGGGATAAACGGGCGAGGTCACCGGCTGACCATCCCAGAAAGAAAGCGCATTCCACACCATTGCGTCGTTTTCAATTTGTAACGAAATTTGAAATGTTTTCAAGAAATAATTTACTTGGAATTTGGTACTGCCTAACGATCCGAATGTTATCGAGAATGGATTTCAACTGACTGTGAGTAGGTCTCTAAAAGCCAAAAAAAAACTTTTGGTATGACATTAGCCACGCAGGTTACTTTGCTTCCGAATTGGAAAAGTTTCACCAAAGGCAACTATATTTATCGGACATGTTCAGGTTAGTAGGCCTTGAAATATATGTTTTATATGCAAATTTACTACGAAACCTATAAAAAACTCTACGGATTCAGTGCCGTGACGGATTTTAAGATTGGATTTCAAATCTATCAACAACCGCCAAAGATTTCAGAGACTTTCCAGTTCATAACATAAGTAAATGTGTCCAAAAATAAGAATCCCATTTATCCAGTTTGTTTTTCTCCCTCAAGGGCTAATTTGTGCGTGGTCATAAAGAGATTCGCATTAAAATTCGCGGGAGACGACGCAACATTTTATGATGGATGCATTTCCTTTATGGCCGGCAACTTGAAACAAAACGATTAAGCTCGGTATCGGGCCATTAAGCAAAGTGGCGTTGTAAAGGGCCTCCGAATGGCAGACCCAATCCCTGTTCCTGACCCACTTTCAGTTCCACATCCTTAGCCGTTTCCAAAGAGGGGGCAGGGGGGAAGGGGGGGAAGTCCTGGCAGGACTCCGCCCAGGGGAGCAATCCGCTGCCGCCTGGTCAAACTTTTCTAGTGTCAGCTCCGGTCCAGGCCGCAGGCCACGAACAAACACATGCCTAATGAAGCGCACTCCGAATGCGAATGCGAATGCCCCAATTTCCCAGCCCAATTCCCGGCACAGTGGGTAGTTTTAGGGGCCCCATATTTCAGGCTATTCTATTTCTTTTTGTTTCCAGCTCATTCCCAAAAAGAAATCATTGGAACATTTATTTTATTAAGGCTAGAAGGCAAGTCCAAAATCGTAACACTTTAAAGTTTATTTGGATTATAATGTGATAACTTTAGAATTTCATTTAGCTTATTATTATTTTTACTGACTGCTGATATATAGGAGTTTACATACAATTCAAATTTTAAAAGGATTTTATTATATTTATTAACTATTTCTAATATTTATTAACTGAAATCGCATTTGGTTGCAATGCAAAACTATTTTATAGGAAGTCTTGCTACTCAAGAGTTCCATCAACATGTAATGACGTCTCCTAAAAGATATCAAGTCATAACGCTGAAAACTGCAGGGAAACAGTAGAACTATAGAACATAAGTATGTTTATTAAAGTTCAATGTTTGACCCCTGATCCTAAGTGTCATCTGAATGAACTCTTTTCGCTGCAAGTGGATTGAATTTACACAGTTCCCATAGTTTTCACACTTGACGCCTTTTTTAGTTACACATGCATAAAGGCGGAGGACCACCCCCTTTATGACTATATCTGTTGCAGCAATTTGCGGACCACTGTCGACCACTTTTGCCCCCCTTCTAGCCTTTTTTTGGGGGGGAGGGGGAGGGGGACCGCCGTCCATGTCCTGGGCCTGTCATCATGGCTGCCATTGTAGTTGCACCCGGAATGGTTGTTGTTGATGGCAAGTTGGCAATACCCACTAATTTATGCGTATTCAAGTTTAAATTGCAAATGCGTGCTACGTGTGGGACAGTTCCTGGTTCCTGGGGTTAAATAGGAGGGGGGGTGCACACAAAAAAAAGGGGCCATTAACTTTACAACATAAAACAAACACCTTTTAGATAAAAAAGGTACGTATTCCGATTACTCATATATTTAATTTAGAATACTTTTGTGGGTAAATTGCTTTAAACCATTTGTAGGTTTTTCTTTTATTAAAATTTTACTCATGTTAGTCAATGGTTTTCTTTTTAGCACTTGTGAGCTGCCCTAAAAACATATTTATTTCAAAAATTGCAAGGTCACCAAAACTTACAAATACTGCCACATTAATCTTGTTCTAAAAAACACAAAATAAACTTATAGAATTAGTGAGATTATTATATTAGTTATATTTAATAATATTTATTTACCACAGTTTTTTTTAGTGTGTGGTTGCAGGCTGTAGGCGCCTCAAAATGTTGACGTTGACCAAATTGGGCATTTTGTTCGATGGTTAGTGGATGGGCTGAGTAGCAGGTGGGTGGGTTGCAAGGTGGGTGGGTTGCAAGGTGGGTGGGTTGCAAGGTGGTTGGGTGGTGGGTGGCTGGACACACCGAGTGGGTGGTGCAGCTGATGATGTGGTATATTCTGCAATCACGCACTCACATGCGTTCACCGACAAGACAGGCCCAAAATGCATTCCATGTTTATTGTATTGCATTTTGCTGTTCTCACTGTCGCCTGGGATACACTGGAAAACATAATTTCTTCTTCATATTAATTTAAATATTTTAAGGTACATTACAAAAATATCAATATCAATGAATAGGTAGAAAATGGGTTATACTTTTCTTTAAAAGTAAATTTCTATAATATCGGTTTCTAAGATAGCAACATTATTTTCTGTGCATCGTTAGCATCAACGCCCTAGTTAGCCCCGCCCCCTTTGTCCACTTTTCCACCCCACTCACCCACCATTTAAATGCAAATGCACTGGACATGTCGCTGGATATCTCGCAGTGTTTCTGCCCTTTGTTCTGCCATATGTCCGTCCTTTGTTTTCCGTGTGGGCTTTTATTTTTATTTTCGTGGCTACATGCCTCTTCGGTGTTTCTCTGCCACTCCACTTAACGAAACCCTTTCTTTTTTGTTGTTTTTGAGATAAAAATAAGTGAAAAGTACTTGACATAAGTCTGGAAATAATTGAACAATATTAATTTTCTTTTACTCTGCACTAACGGCCCAAAAACTATCAACATTTCACCATCGCTTTTTAGTTTTTGACTCTCCTTGGTATTTTCCACGCTTTTTAAAAAACAGTTTAATTTAAATTTTAAACTATTTTAGGACCATTTAGAAAATGAAAACAAAATTAGACTTTAATTTAAATCTACGATAAATTTTAAAAAATATTTGTATTAAATGTAAAACTGCTATATTGAAATTATGAAATATTTTCTCAGTGCCTTGCTTTGTGGATATTTTCTCTGTTTTCCTTTGCTGCTACTTTATTCCCAGCCCCCCTTTCCCCCGCTTCCCCTCTTTCCGCCCCCTTTTGGCCGTAATTACATAGCCTAATTGTTGCTGCTGCCATTGTTGCTGTTGCTTTTGCTGTTGCTGTTGGCAGTGTCCGTTACTAACAATAAGTGCCGCCTTTCGGCCTGCATCGAAATGAGCCGAGTTAAGCACTTGAACTGCAATTTGCCAATGTTGCATGTGGCTTAACCCCACAACGCCCCCACTCCGTTTTAATTGCTGCCAGATTTTCACTTGCCAAACAATTTATCAAGGTTATCATTGTTAGCCGTTTACTTAAATTTCAATTTAATGCAATTAAAAATCATTTTTGAATTTCTAAGAGAAAACTAAGATTTTATTACCAAATAGATTTTCTATGAGGACAAGGTAAATTGAAATTAAAGTGTTAATAAAAATCGTTTCTCTAAGAACCAAATTGATTTACACATCTCTTTTGGTAGAACTGTGTTTCTATCATTATTTTAATTATTATGATTGACTTAATCAAAAGCATTCGCCCGGAAAAATAAACCAGAATAGGATTTTACAATTTAAAAGATAATACTTAACAAGCAGATTTGAAGAAGTTTCGAATTTCCAGAAAATGAGATATACAATACATTTTCCGTCAGGATGATTTCCCCCGTAATTCCCGCGCCCACACACTTTCCCACGGCCTCGAAAATTGTTTTCCTTCCCATTCACAATAAATAGCAGAAACTGTCAAACCGCTGTCGCTGCTGTAAAATGTTAAACATGAAATCCAAAACAAGCCCACAGCAACAAGGATATGGGACAACAACCACGCCGGTGTGACATATGAGTGCCGCTGTCAAACGTCGTCGGTGCTGGAAGATTTATGTGCCTCTAGCTCGGGATCGGGATGGGGATTGGGTGGGCCAGTCGAGGAGCAGCCACGTGTCCCGGGCCCAATCATAAAATATGAAAGGAGACAAATAAAAGAGGAGGCGGAAAAAAAAGGAGGGGGGCCGTCGGATAATTGGATCGGTTCCGTTTTGTCGATTCACCAGAAAAGCGCTAATGAAAACTCCGCACGGGGCGAAAGTGTTAAGACTCCAGTTCCCTCGTCCTTGTTATTGTTCTTCGCCGACGGGCGACACATGGTGCTGTGTGCGTGTGTGATTGATGCGATATATCCTTTGACAGGCTCGCACCCAAATCCATATCCCCGCAATACCCATATCCACACAATCGCCCAAAAGGACGCTTCATCAATGCGACAATGTCCTGACAGTTGCTTCGACAGTCGCAAGTGCAAGACAAACAAGCTGCACTTCTCGCACAACTGCGTCACCTTCCCGTCCCGCCCCCTTTTCCTGATTTTCCACCCGCCGCCCACACGTTTCACCACACGCACGAGAAACATATGCAAATGCAAGCCACCGTGGTGACCCACTCGTTAGGAAAGGCTTTCAAATACCAAATTCACTTAAAATGTTTTATTTAAATAACACTTTACATTTTAGAATTTTTTTACTAGCTTTAAAAAAGGATTTTTCTCAGAATAAAAAGTTTTTAACAATCGTGGCCTATAGATTCTAAGCTGCCAAACCAATCTCAAAGGTAGGTATTACAATCTGTAAGAGAATTACATCTTTGGTAAGGTCGGTTAACTAAAACTCGATTTGAAAAATAATAACAAGATTTTTACTTGAAGAGAGGAATCCAAATTGTAACCTTCTAACAACCTGATTTCCACTAAATATATGGATACCAATACATATTCATTTTATTTGGTTATATTTAAAAATATGAATTTTTTTAAAGTATGCATTGTTTATAATTTATTTATGAGATTATGTGTATATGTATAACTATTTATATATTATTTTGTATTATTTATTGATTAAACTTTTGTTTGGCTTTCGAAGTAGTACAAAATATTTATTTATTTTTCAGATAAATTTTTCCAGAAGCAATTCTCGTATAATTTTTAGCGCTTCAAAGCAGCACCACTGTGCACGCATCGAAGAAGAGAGAATCTGGTCGGGATGTGGGCAAACATGCGCCCTGTCAATATGCCAAGAACCGAATGCAGCTGGGAAAATAAACAGGATGCTCCTACCACCTCCATCTCCATCTGCCGCTCAACCTCGGCCTGCCACTCCGTCGACTGGGGATCCTTTTCCCCAAGGACCCACAACCAGACAGAGACCCAGAGCAACCACACCCTGCCTGTAATAATTATCGACTAGTATCTTCTCTCGACCAAAGTCATATTTCAGCCATCTGCAATCTCAACATTTTCGCAGCCAATTTCAAAAATTGAATGTTCGAGCTGGCCCGTTTCAGTGGGCATAAATTTGCGGCTCCACCGGCAATCAAAACAGGCTCTAAACCAGGACCTGCTGTTGGCTTTGATTAATAGCCGGGCCCATAAATCCGGCGGATGGTGGAGGAGAGAGGGGCGAGGGGCGGGGCTCAGGTAAGTAACTTGCATAAGTTAGGCGCACGGCCAACGGTCAACGGGTCGGCTACTTGTTATGGCCGCACGCTAATGAGAGGAAAGTGCTGTGGAGCGGCGGAAAATTCGGGGGAAATCCCATCGTTCCCAGGGACAGGATGTCTGTCATGTCAGTGGCGCGACGGAGCCTGTCATTTTTCAGACTTTGTCCGCCAACCGAAAAAAAAAACAAATGACACTAATAAGTTGAGCGTGGGCGAAAAACGCGGGGTACACTCAGAATGGCACACTGTAAATCGACTTTCAAGTCTGAATTACTTAAGATTTTTCACAAAATTGTAAGCTATAAATTTAAGCGGTACTAGTGATTAAGTGAGAAAACATTACCTATCTTTGATCACACAAAATTCAGATAACAATTATGTTTCACAGAAAATATACAGAAAATAAAAGCTCATAAATATATTTTATTTTGTAGATGCTGAAATATTATCCACAATTTTCTTATTAAGAAAACCCTAAAAAATTTAAGGATTAATTAAATAAAAAACTTTTTGATATCGGAAATAATTTATGTTTCCTAGACAAATGTAACTTTAAAATAGGTTAATATTTTCTTAAAGAAGACTTGTTAAATTGTATTTTTATGTGAAACATTATGTAAAATTTAATGGAAAACTTGCTTTAATCATGTCGTTTTAAAGTAGACATTTATCAAGTCATAAAATACATTAAACTTTAATAGTACATAAGTGTCCCTTTCCGTTTTTCCGAGTGAACAGAAGCCTGTTCGGCAGCAAAATATTTTCCAATTACCAAAGAAATATCCCCATTCATGCGCTCGATAAAAGGCAATTAAAAATGACTTATGCCATTGTTTTGGCTTCTGCCGGTCGAACGCTCAAAGTTTTATGGGGTCAGGCATCGGCCACGCCCCCTGACCGCCTCCGACATGTGTGTGCAATGGGCAAAGTTTTGTTTTCGGAACTTCTTGCTCGAAAATGAAATCCACCCAAATGCAAAATGAATACAAAATATGCTGGGAGTGCGGGACAAATCTCAGGACAAATAGTGGATTAGCTGTGATTGCGAGACATTAAAAGGGAAACTAGTGGCCAATTAGTTGGCTGCCTACCATCGCAACTTCCATATCAAATGAAATCCATTTCGATATCAAATAAAATCGCATATCAAAGGCCATTCCATATCGAGTTGAGTTGACTGCCTGCCGGCATTAATTCTCTGTGGAAATTAAATCGCGACACAAGTTAAATAGCCAACTCGCAGAAAGGAATTTCGTTAAATATTTTATTTAAATAAAGAAAAGGGGAGAAGGAGGGGAAGGAGGGGAAAGGGGGGAAATGGGGAAATGAAATTGTTGCAGCAGGGCAGGGCAGGTGCCATAGTTGGACCATAAATACTCCACACACCCATAAAAACCCAACGCCATCGGCATGCAAAATGCATTGCACTGTGGGGCGAAGGGGCGCCTTCTGCCATAAACATTTGCATTTGATGGCCCTTTTTTAGGAGCAGGATGTGGAAAAGAGTTTACATAAAATAAAATAATATTCGCAATCAAACGGAGTCGAGGGCTCGCCATAAATTCTTAGCGAGGAATAGGGCAAGTAGACAGGATAATGCATCCAAAGGAAGGACACAGTGGCGGTCATTAGACTGATCAATGGTTCTCCACTCAAACATTTTTATTAGCCACTATAACTTTGGAAAAATGTGGAAGCTTTCTGCGGCAGACATGCAAAATTTACCAGACTACCATTATTATTTTTTTCTATTCCATAATCTTAAAAAAAATACATAGGTATACAATATGGTACTGCCAACTCCTTATTGAAATTAAACCCTTTCTCGAGAATTCTGAGTATAACTTTGCTATCAAACTGCTACCTTGGCATTGCCAATACAATTTTTTTTAGCAATTTATGGGTGCTAGTATTTTGACTGCAATCGTTTGCCAAACGACAGATGTGCAAAATTGCAGCAAAACGAAACATAAAAATAAAAGGCAACCAAATGATTTGTATTCCATGGCAAATCGAAGAGTACTAGTCGTGGATGTTTAATTTTGCATTAATATCTTTGCTGCTTCTGAAGTTTCTTTCAACCAAATTCCTACTTAAATTCGATTTATATAGAATTTAAATTCAATTTAATTGTTGTAAATGATACGATTTTGATATACTTACTAAAATAAAAAAACAATTTAATAGTATTTTACATAGTACCAATAATTTTGAACTTTATCTAAGCATTTCGAATTTCTTTGCCAAGAGAAAAGACAATATGTTAAAAACTGGGAAGACAGCATGATGTTTATTTCACGGACAAATCGTGGGGCGGTAATGATGAGGGTGGGCATGCCCATTGTCTACCAGAAGTCCCCCTTGGCCCCGCCCCCCTGCACGCCCATTTCCATGTTGTTGTAGGCGCAGAAGGCCTCGCCGTTCTCGATGCAGGGTTCGTAGGATCCCTGGCCGTGTCCAAATCCAGGTCCCCGTTCCTGCGGCTGGCCATAGGGGTTTGCGGTCATCGGCCGGAAGTCGCCCATTCCCTGTGGCGCCACCGGATGCATCCCCGGACTGGAGGAGAACAACGCCGCCCTGGACCACTGACCACCATGGCCGACATAGCCGGTCGCATTGGGATTCGTGGCATCGCCCATCTGGGGATAGACGGGCGAGGTCACCGGCTGACCGTTCCAGAAGGATAACTCCTGCGACGACATGTCCGAAGGTCCTTGACAAATTTTGAGTCTGGGGTTTTGGTTCCAAAAATTACCTTTTTGTAATCATAAGAAATTTTATGACCGAGAATTTATTTTGGATCTTTTTCGTTATGAATACAGACTGTGACTGAGGGTATAAAAAACCAGAACGAGCATTTCAATTTGACATTTATCCCAGAGGATGGGTTGTTGTGTATTTGTGATTAGAAAAATTCCAAAAAGTGAAAAACATTGGTATAGTATTTATAGGCTTCTACAAGACATTCACAATATATACATTAGTTTTAATTAATTTCATGTTGTAGAGCCTCTGATTTTATTCCTTTGATAAATTTAAAATTTCCCCTGCCTTTTAAAGACCTAATGAAAAATGAATTGCCTGCTTTTGAGGGCGATTCTCATTGACAGTTGAGGCTCCTCTTTCCATTATTTTTGTAATTGCTCCTTGGACAGGACATGGCAGGCATCTCACTCCGGATTACAGCATTGAATCCTCGCTTTTTTTCCGTCCCCATCAATCGCTGGCACCAACTGGGAATGTTAATTAGCAGTTGACCGAGCATTTGGTTATGCCATTCCACCCAAAAACCCCCCCCAAACCCCCCAACCCCCCAAAGCCCCCATCAACCGATGGCAGTCAATTAGCCGACATCAATAGACACGCCCCCTCGACAGGAGGCCGCCCACTTTGGCTGTCCAGGATCATTCGCCTGCTGTTGCGTGCATTTAATGCGCATTAATTGCGCATAATTAAATTTTCTACAATTTTATTATGCACTTTACATGGCAAATGCTCAACATTAAAACCAGATTAAAGTGGCAGAATTAATGGCATACTGATAGTTTTATTTCTATTTTTTTTTCGGCATCTTCGTTATGCTGGGAAATCAGCTTTTTAATGAATAATTTGTAACAATAAAGCGACATTTTCCTTTTCGCATTTTCTCGACCATAATTTTCCATCGTTCTCTTTGTATCTGTCATTTAACACAAATCGTGTCAGTTGCGCTGTCATTGTTGTCAATGTTATTATTATTATTATTATTATCGCTTTTGTTGGCCGCCTTTCTCTTCCTTTTCATGTTTGCCAGTTAAATTTCTGAATGAATATTTAATATCATTTTAATGCGGTTTAAATGCCGTAAAATGACTATCACACAAAAGTATTTACGTAGTTCGTTTCAGGGCTGTAATGCAATACATTTTTTGGGAAGAAAAGTATACAAACATAGTATACTTAAGCCTTACGAAATTCAACTTATTAAAAAGTAAACAAATGAAACTATATTTATTGGCTTTCCATCTAAAAATGCAGTTTTAATCTGTTTTACAACTATGTCGTTCACTGTTAAGCCTTTTAATGAACATGTACATATTCTTGTTTTTAATCTGCTTCCCCCAGCTAATCCTGTTTAATTATCTCTAAAAATAAATATGGGTTGAAAATAAACACATTCAAAAATGGTATCTCCATTTGAATTTATAAAAAGGTTGAGTAATATTATATAATATATACCAAAAGATAATTTTTAAAATTATACTATACAAAAAGTAATTTTTATATTCCTATTATAAAGAGTGGTTAATTTCTAAATTTTGATTTATATCTTAGACATTCATCAAAAATCATTAGAAATCAATTGTACTATTCTCTATAGAATTAAATACATAATCTGAAACAAACTTGGTGTTGAAAAAAAAAAAATATCTCCTAATTTTGTCCTCGAATATTATTTGCTTCAAATCCAATTCATTTTCAGGCCACTGAATGACAAAATTTGTAGCATGCGATAAGCAGCAAAGTGCTTCGCACCCAGGGAAATTCTCTCTGCCGAACGTTTCGGCTGGCGGCGAGGAAAAGTCCCAGGCGCAGGATATTTCCTTTTGCCTTTCCTAATGCGGTGCCTAGCACAGCTGGGGAAGGGGGGGTGTCACGAGTGCGGGGGGAGGGTGTCTGTTTTGGAGGTCTAAAGAGGAGAAAATGCTGCTGCTGCGTTGAAGCTGTTCGAGCATTTTACGCATATTTTTGGCGCCGGTAATATGTTCCGTTGTCTCTTCATGCACCCAGAAAAATATTACAAAAATATGACTATATTTTCATTATTAATATCCCTCAATCCGATATTTTTAAAATCCTTCATTATTATAATTAAATTCCTTACAATTTCAGATCTTAGAACATTTTATTATTTTGCTTTTGCTGCAGTTTTTTAAAAACGTATTACAACATTTTTTGTTTGAAGGGAATATATGATTATTATCTACTATAAAATTTATAATCTTAAAGTAATAAAAAATAATTTTTATTTGTTAATGTAAATTAATTAAAATGTTTTTAAAAATTGTTAATAATTTGAAACTTATATTTTTATTATTATTGCATTTTATTTAACTTCTTAGAGACCCTTTTTATATGGTTACGGTCAATTAATTGTATCCAATTTGCTGTGTTTTTCTCCCTGTGTATTTCAGCATGACTGAGTTGTCTCTTTGGGGCGCTGGAATGGCTTCCTTGGCGAACGAACGAGTTGAGCTTGTGTTCGCTTGGCTAATTAAACATTTGACAATTATTAATACATTTGAAATGGTTGCAGTGAGAACGAAAAAAGAACTGAGCAAATATTTAACAGCTGCTCAACGCACGCACACATGTGCACATATGGAATGCGTACCGCCCACCGCCTACCGCCCACCACCCCCCTCTGTGCCAAGTGGGTTGACGCCTTCCGAGTGTTTGCTGCTGCGTCATTAAAAGCGCTGCCGCCGCCAGTCGCCTTTTATTTCCAAAAGCGGGAAACAGAGGGAGGATCACTGGAAAAAGCTCTAATTTCATGTATTTGTATGCATTGATATCATTTCAAAATATATGAATAAATTACTTCTATATTATTCAAAACGAAATTTTAATTCCTAAAATACTAATTTTTTTAAATACTCATTTAAATAATTTATACAACTTTTTATTTCACTTAATCAATCAATGATGAATGAACTTTAAAACTTTTTAATTTTAAAACCATTGATCAATGCTTTCGATAAAGTATTACCAATTTAAGGGGTTTTAAACAAAACTGATGATTTAAAAATTTTTGATATTAAAGGATCAAATAATTTGTTTCCAGTGTAAGCACCCAGAGAGGTAAGTAAAATAAGACGAAGAGAGGAGAGTGACGGCTTTTCACTTTTGTTTTTATTTTTATCACATTCTTATTTGCTGTTGCCGCCATTTTAATTGCTGTTGTTGGTTCTGTTTCTTATTATTATGCTAGCCTTGCCTCCTCCCCTTTATCACCATCTTAGGTTGTCTTTCGCTTCGTTCCCTGTTGCCTGGCATAAATCTCTCGGCCAACGAGGCGTATGAATAACAATCCTTCGCTAAATTCCGCGCCTTACTTTTATTTCACTGCTCACACCTTTTTAAGCTGCGACAACACAAAGTTCAGGTTAATAACAAAATGTAGGTATACAAACAACCTTAGAAAATTTAGAAAGGATACCTGTTAGGTATCACTGACTACCCTGATAGTTATAAATATTTATTAAATATTATATTTAATTAAAATTATTACACACAGGTATTTGATATACCAATTCCTTCAAATAAAACGTTATTTAAAAAGTAACATTGTCGAATCACTATTTTATTGCCAATATGAGTTGCTTCATATGTGTGTGTGTGTTTACGGCTTTAATTTCCATAGTGGCTTCCAAAGAATCACAAATATTCTTTCCCAAGTTCACATGCAGTTTTGTTTGACCATTAGCAATTCCAAATGAAATTCATATATAATATAGCAAGTTAAGCCATTCAATTACCCTGTAAATGGCGTTACAGGCATACTTAGAAATTTAACAACATAACCAAAAATAAATGGTACAAATGACGTTGTTAGAAAACCCTCTTTTAAAGGTCTAAAAGCTTTAATTTGAGATTTTTTGTTTTCATTTATAATTTTGGATAATAAATTACTATCTAAAGATACTAATTTACCTGGGTAATTCGTGGGTCCATAATTTCCTGGGCCCCCAACGAAATATCACCGCCATCCTGGGCCACTCTCAATTATTGTTTTATCTGCTCGTTTCCATTTGTGTTTCCATTTCCGAGGCACTTTTATGGTCGCGCTCTTTTGCTTGACTTGACTTGGCCCCGCTCCAAGCCCGGGCCAACAGCAAGGTCACCCCCACCCACCGAAACACCCACCCACAACCACATGGCTACACACGCATGGGCTTAGGCATACTTGGAGTCTAATCAAGCCCAAAACCTAAACAACAAAGGCCCTGGAATGGACACTGGACTCAGGGAGGCGGGAGTGGGCGGTAGTGGGTGGTAGTGGGCGGGAGTGGGTGGTAGTGGGCGGTGGGTGGTGGATGTTGGCTGGAGGACAGGTCGGTCCTCTTTGTCAAATGTGTGTCATGACCTTACGCACAGACCAACTCACAGGCGGTGACAACTGCCAAGTTGTAGAGGCGAATTAGGAAAGCCATTTTTATATTTATAAAAATGATTTGAAAGGCAATACATTTGAATAGCTGGAAGCATTGATAAACAACTTTGTTAAATCAGATTTTAAATTAATTGTAACTATTACTTGATATAAGGAAACTCGTTTTCATAAAAAGATTACGAATTCCATGAGTTGCTTATTATAATATAGAAAAGTCGTAAGCCTTAATTAATTCATTATTTTTAAAAACAAATAAAGAACACAAAACAAACAAATTAAAAACAACTTTTACTCGGATAAAGCAAAGTGAGATACAATTTAATAAAAAATAAATTTTACAAATCTAAAAGTTAATAAAGTCGAATCTATTTTAAACAATTTTTGTTGCTTGTTTATTAAAATCGTTGCAACACCTGTGTGAAAAATTCATAAGTCTGAATTGCACTTGTTTATTAGTTCATGAACATCTTGCCTAAGCAAATATTGCGCAAATTTAATTAAAAGAATTTTGATTAAATTAATGTGCCATTAAAATCGAAATATTAGTTTTCATATTTGATAATTTGACATATTTATGGACAAATGGGAATGTGTGATTTAAATTCAATTAATAAACTAATCGAGGCTAAAATGCAAATGGAATTGGCAAT